AAGGGTGGTAGAAGGGTGGCCTTAACAAATCCATTCAGTGTAATTGTTAATTATACGTGATCACAATTATTCAACCATTCAATAACCAAGGCAATCAATTTAAAATGCAATACAAGTAGCTTGTACTACAAATAAAATGAACTTCATTGAACATAAATTCATATGCATAGACTTTGAAAAACTTTGTTGTAAATAACATTCGTCGAATGCTCTGATGCATTGCCTTCTGAATCACATGTCAATATTTTTTTTTATTTACAACCCTAGTGAAGTGATCTAGTTAATCACCTTATACACCAAAAATCTATATTTTGACTGTGAATTTCAAATTAGAACCCTTAAAACAAATTTCCAAACTATTACTCCATTTGTCCAACTATAAGTGTTTTCTCTAAGTTCTTCAGCTGTGAGAAAAAACCAGCATTAGGTTCAACTCCTCGCCTTTGACTTCTCACATGTTCCAGAGCTTGAGCTAAGCTTATACCGTTCTTTTTCATAAGGTAAGCCAATACTATAGTCACACTGTCACACATGATAATGCACTTGTCTCAGTTTCTTAAATTGGGGTACAAGGATTTCGAATGCTGTAATAATTGAACTAATAAAAACATGATTCCAAGGCATAAACTGATTATGTAGTTTATAAACCAACAATCAGAACGCAAAAAAGACACCAAATTCAATAAAAAGTGGAAGTTAAAAGAAAACAAAGAAGCTGTTCAGTTCAAAGAAAACTACGGATAAGCACAGAATTTAGAAGTCCGTTATTTATAGAAATTAAAGAAAAAACTACTAAACCTTGTAGGAGTTCGAAATATGAGATGCCTAGCGTGATAATGATTACCTTCGGGACCTGCCCATAAAGCAATGAACCAAGACACTGCCACTTCTCTTAGCTTCGTCAATGAATTGAAAACACTCTTCAAAATTTTGTGATATGTCTACATCTGCTCTATCTGATACTGTATACATTTATAATTTAGCGCAAAAAAAAGGAAGGTCATTTTGGGACATAGAAAGTTTTCACACTGGTTGTGTTTTAATTTCAGTGACAAGAAGCTGTAATCCACTTCTGATGGCTGCAAGTCCAGTAGTAGAAACCAAAAGAGCTAAATGTGGAAAAAGACATGAAATAAAGTGAGAAAGTCATACCGCCAATAACCTTATACACAAAATCACTTGGAAATGGGGGGGAGAGTGAATTGGCAACCATCAAGACATGTGTAATATTCAAACTTTTCAATGTGCTCCTATTCATAGCAGCTCCAACAGATCCCAAGTAAAGACCCTGAGATTAAGAGGCAACAAGTTCCTATTATGGAAGAATGAAAGGACAAGCGTGCAGTTCATATCTCAGCATGATATAAACATTTCACCTATTTGTTACCTCTTCAATTTTGCAGGGAATGCTATCTCTTTTTAAGTAGGCTATTTTTTGCATCACTGGCAGCAGAGCTTCATGCCTTTCCATCACTGGATCCATCTGTAGAAAATGGAGCTAAAGTTTGACAATCCTCTCATCCAAAAACAGTGTAAATGACAGAAATGGCATCATCAGATTCAGAGGTTTATATGTGTGTCACAAGATTTGAAAAAAAAAACTGCATTCCATACTTATATATTTTGGTTAAACACCACGATTTACTTTCATCGGTTGAAACATGAATAATTTTTAAATCTTAATTTGTATTCAAACCTAGACTCAGTTGCGATTGCTGTATTTAGAGGCAACCAAACAAGACACTACTAGAATTTTGCAGTGTGACTAGTAGTCTAGGACCAATGGACCTTATACTATGAATCACAAACATGCAATAGTATTGAACAAGAAACACACAATTGGATTCATCTATTCTTGGATGCTATCAACAGCTTTATGTGAACATCAAAATTCAGATAAAGGATGATAATCAAATAGCATCGGGGACTATGCCAAAATCCATAGGCTAAATCCTTATACAGAATTTTTTCAATAGCCGTTGATAGCATCCAAGAGAAAAAGGCAACAAGATTGCGGAGTAGTAAATTGCTCCGTATAAGAATTAATAATTTTCAGCAATTTTCGCAGAAGCAATTAATAATTTCCAGCAATTTTAAAACACCAAAAACTGAAATGAACAACAATTACCATATTAGTAATCACGTAGATCTAATCTGAGAACAAAATATGAGAATAACGAGTCCTGGCACCAAAATTCCACAATAAAACAATATTAAATAAATGAAAAACAGAAATGAAAAATGAAGAATAAGATCACTCCACCCTTTCAATTGCCAATCAAATTTTATTTACTACCTTTTCTTCTTTATTTTTCTTATGATTATTGCTAGGTTTCCCTCTCATCTCACTATATCCACTAATTTATATTGGTGTCTCTGTTTTAATTTAAATCGGTCGTGATTGTTTATGTGATCTTAGAGACAATTTTCAATTCAATATATTTAAAAATTTGTATGAAATTAAAAATAAAATTTATGTTTTATAAAATTTTATCAAAAGTTTTATAAAATAAAACGTGATGAAACTATATTATTTTCTCAAATGGATAGTAAAAATGAGTAAAGAGTGTCATTAAAGTTAGACTATATGAATAATAAACAAGCGATTTAAATATAGATGGAAACATTTCTGTAAAAGAAAAGAAAGAGATAAAGGATAAAAACTGAAGTAGAAGTAAAATATTAAAAATATATTAAAATAGGATTTCCATATTTTTATTTTCAAAATATGAGTCAAAAAGTATTTACATTACTAATTATGATCACTTACATTATCAACAAATATAGTAAAATGCTCATTACAATGTCACATCACTATATTGCGAACTCCCATTTAACAAAAAATATGAAACTTCTATTTTGATTTTTTTATGTTTTAGTACTCTTATTTAAGGTGAATTTTTATAGCATTCCAAGTTGGCGTAGTCTTTTTCGAGCCTTGCACGTGAAACCTTAATTTTTTTTAAACTGGGTGGCGCTGAGTTTCGAACCCGTGACCTCTTAGTCAACAAGGCTCCGATACCATGTCAAGGAACCAACTCAACCAAAAGTTCAAGCTTGTGGTTGTGGCCCAAGAATAGTTATTTATATTCTAACACAAGTAATGCTAAATATGACATTTAGATTGATTAGAGCATCTCCAATGCATATGATATATTGTGGCGCTAACTATTTTTTCACATCTATTTTTTAATGATATTGATTCTATTACAATGTAGTATTGTTCATACTATTCTCAACATAGGCAATGTTTCTGTATCCGCTTAGATTCGAACTCATGCAAACTTTCCCATGAATCTTGAGAAGTGGCTTCCTACCACTCAAGCCAGGGAAGAAGTTCCATATCTATCTTTTTAAATATACTTACTCCAACTGATGGCTATCAACCCATTCATTCCACCCGGTAGGTTCGCAACCAACTGGGAGGTACCTAAATCTGACGCCCTATGACTTGGTCAACCCGGTAGTCTGCTCGGTTAAGTATGAGAAGATTCAGAATTAAGAACATGGCTTCGCCTGACAAAGCCATGCTTACTGCCCGGGTGAAAACTAACCGGCCAGAAGATCAAGAACGTCAAGACGTGTTTGACGTGCTTATTCATTATTATAATAGGAGTAAAAGCCTCATTAGTAAGGCATGCTTTAATTAATCCACACGGCTTGTACTTTGCAAACAATCTCAATATCATTAATAAAAACAGGGTTACATGTGTTTCCACTTACAACCTTTTCGCTTATTCTTACTTAATATTTGCACGATTTTACACCATCACCAATCATATGTTTTTACATAAAATTCGATCCATCCCAAATTAAGTTGTTTGCTATTTACAAGATCAGATTTGATTCACTTTTTTTTCTATCCTCGTTGCTCATTTTATAAAAAATATAATTATGTTACCTCTTGTTGCGGAAATAGTTTTTGATGTAGGCATTTTAGTATGTAAAGTTTAGTTTTTAATCTTGCTCTAAATATAAAAAAATTACATTGAAAATAATTACAATTAAACATCGTAAACAAAAATAAGCGTTTTAAATTGGGATGAAGGGAGTATTATTTTAAGTAATTTCTTCAAGATAAATATTTAAATAATTTTTAGGATATTTATTTATAGGGAGTATGATAAGATACAAAATTTTTGGAAATTTTGTTCTTATTAGAAAAGGGTTGAAGTCAACAGAACAAATTTTTTTAGGAGACTTGTATAAATACACTACGGTTTTTTATCACTTGTTTTAAGCTTCCATTATAATGTCAATAAATTGGCAATAAAATATAAGGAGTTTTAGTTAAGTGTAAATTTAACCATATGCTCTAACCATTGGAGGTGTATTAGAAGATTGCAAATTATAACATACAACCGTTTTTACCAGATTTGTAGTACAATTGGAGAATTAACATTGTTCGTTTATAAAAAAATGACGTATCGATTTGGAGAATGCTGGCGAGGCGACTAGACTTGGCCAAGACATAAAGAGGATTCTCGATTTATCTGATTGCGGTTCACGCGCGATTCATCGCGAATGGAGGAGCAACGATATTCAAACCAACGGAAGTCGTTGAGCAAACCACATACGACAATGACTGCAGAATTAACACTACTTGTTTAAGAAAGAACATTAGATTATTTCAGAATAAACACTACTTTGAAAATACTTAGAATGAGCACTACGCTGTTTCAAAATTATCAATACGTTGTTTGTTAATTAATATTACAATATAATTGTAATGAATAAATATGTGAAAAATGAATATTACGTTGAATCAAAATGAATATTTACTTACCTTGGTCTAGATACACCCGGAGGCCGGAGGTACGGTAGACGTTCCCTTTAGAAGATAGGAATCATTGTTTGGTTCATTTTTTCTACTTAAGAAAACAACACAAGGATTCTAAATGGAACAAAATGCTAGCTAGAGAGTGTTTCTAAAAGTGTAATTTTTCAATATGGGTTGAACCCCAAGAATTTGCACCTCATTTTGTACACTCCATGGATGTACTAAGATTTTGTGTTGGTGTAACAACACCGACATTTTGTGTTAAATTTTTGTTAACTGATAAATTACTTTGTATCAATGTAAATCATTAAAATATTAATGCATAACTCTAGTGTACAAAGAATACAAATGGAGTTACCTCTTTGTTTTGATTCGAAAGGGGGCCGGCCAACTGTCAATCAAATGGACTACGACTAACCTGGGATTCTCCGATCCAAGCTGTGAATCAACCCAAGAAATGGGGAGGAGTTTCTTGAATCCACGAGAGCGTGATTACGGGAATTACGATGGGGGGAGAAAGATAGTGTGAAAGGTCGGCATCATCATCCTCTCCGCTTTTAGTTTTTAACGCCCAAGCAACTCTCTCCTTTCACCATCTTCTTCTTCTTCTCTTTCTGGCGATGAATTGCTAACAAATCCCAAACATTGTTGCTTTTGGTGATATTGAAAAACGAACTGCACAAGCCCACGTCTTCCCGGCGGTAGGGGGTTCGGTCGCCACCGCCCGCTCCTCCTATGGACAGCCCCTGTTTGCAAGCAGTGATTCACGGAGTTGCGCCTCCTATAGGGAGTTTCGATGTCCGCGCGAGCAATCCTTCACAGGTCAATGCCTCCGCCGGGATTCCGGCTGAGAACCCGTCGCTGTGGATCTCGCACAGGAATTCCCATCGGCGGCGCTCTTACAATTTCCGTCCTTGTGTATTACTGCCCGCCAGAAGAGGGGGACCGTGTTATAATAAAACGGCCATGGCTGGCGACGACGCCGTTTCGACGAAGGAGGAATTGGACGAGAAGAAATTCGGCGAGAATCGGTTGGACGAGGAGGGAGAGAACGGTAATTGGGTGATGAAGATCCTCCGCGTTCGGTCTCTCGGCCGGAAAAATTGCCGGACTGGAGATTCCGATTCTCCAAAAATGGATGGTCAATTGAGCGATGAGAACCAGAATCGCGATGAAGATGATTGCGATCCATGTGCCGTTGATGATGACGATAACGAGGAAGATGAATTTGACCGGAATTCCTTCTCCAAATTGCTATGGCGTGTATCCTTGAAAGAAGCTAGGTTTTATGACCAGATGTCTTATTTGGGAACTTTAGCTTATTCCATCCCCCAAATCAAGGTAAAATCCATTTCTGTCCTCTCTATGAATTTTCCTTGATTGGAGCTCTTCACCACAGTCCATGGATTTCCTAGTTATTCATCAATCATCGCGTGAATATAGTTTCTTAAAACCCCTTTTGATGGCGTGCAGCCACGGAATCTTTTAGGATACCACAAACTGCGATTTGTAACTTCATCTCTGGAGAAGAAAGAGCAGGCATTGAAAGCTGAGCGAGAAACACGGCTGGCTGAAGAGCGGATGAAGAAAGAGAACGAGGTTGCTAGCGTTAAGGAAGCAGAGGTCGACGAGAAAGAAGATGAAGAAGAGAGGAACCAGATTAGTGGAAATGGTATTAGTGCATCTGCTGCTTACAGGATTGCTGCTGCTGCAGCTTCATATTTGCAGCATCACACAAAGAACATTTTACCCTTTAAGAATAATGGGGTGTCATGTAATGGGGATACGCCGAGAAAAGCACTTGAAGGTGATGGGAATGAGGAGGAAGTTGCTTCACTAATGGCCACCACCGACTCGGTTACATCAGTGGTTGCCGCAAGGGAGGAGGTAAAGCAGGCTGTCGCTGATGATCTGAGCTCAACACGGTTGTCTCCATGTGAATGGTTTGTTTGTGATGATGATAAGAGTGGTACAAGATTCTTTGTCATCCAGGGATCTGAGTCACTGGCATCTTGGCAAGCCAATCTTCTGTTCGAACCGACACAGTTTGAGGTATTTAAGGCCACGTTTGGTTGCTTTGAAATGAAAATAAGTAGCAGTTGCCGTGGTAGATGCTTTTGAGGAAAACAAGTTATTTGCTGTGGAAAACAGAACTTGTTTTCATTAGCCTAAAACTTGAAAAACCATGAAAACATTTCTCAGAAAAAAATGGCATGCTGGAGTCTAATGCTCTATTTCGCTACAAATTCTGGCTTATTATAATTATCATAAACCCAATAAGTATTTTGTAAACTTGTAAATATGTTTTTCTTTTCGGAAAATGCAGCTTTCACTAGCCTCTATAGATTTTATCCAACTCTATGGACTCCCCTTGGAAAGTCTATTGCCCTTATGATGTATCTTTTCATGTTCAGGGTATGGATATTGTTGTGCATAGAGGTATATATGAGGCTGCAAAAGGAATGTATGCGCAAATGTTGCCCGAAGTGAGAGCACACCTCAAATCCTATGGTGCCCGTGCCTCATTCCGTTTCACCGGGCACTCTCTTGGAGGCAGTCTATCTTTACTTATAAATCTCATGCTCCTAATGCGAGGAGATGCTCCCCGTTCTTCTTTGCTCCCCATTATAACTTTTGGTTCGCCAAATATTATGTGTGGAGGGGACCGCCTCCTCCAGAAGCTCGGATTGCCTCAAAGTCACGTCCAGTCAATCATGATGCACCGAGACATTGTGCCCCGAGCCTTTTCTTGCACTTACCCCAATCGTGTTGCAGAGTTTCTTAAAGCCGTGAATGGAAGCTTCCGGAACCATCCATGTCTAAACGACCAAGTAAACATGTTTCCTTCATGTTCATATATATATTTGTAATAATATAGTTTAAACCCAAGTTAATTAGACAAGTGTAGTAAATCTCTACTTTGTTGGTTTCTTATCAACAGAAGCTGTTATATGCTTCCATGGGGGAGCTCTTGATTCTGCAGCCAGATGATAACTTCTCTCCAAGCCATCCCCTACTTCCTTTAGGACCTGGACTGTATTTATTAAGTTGCCCTTTCAATGGAGAGGCTGAGAAGCAAATCCAAGCTGCAAAGACCGCGTTCCTCAACTCCCCACACCCACTAGAGATACTGAGTGACCGTTCAGCATATGGGTCCGGGGGGACCGTACAGAGAGACCACGACATGCATTCGTACCGGAAATCCATCCGGACCGTTATCCGGGAAGAGCTCAGACGCATTAGAAGGGCAAGGCGAAATCTCAGGCGCAAAGTATGGTGGCCAGCCGGGATTTTTCATGGAGGCATTGTACTCGGAAAGCTGGTGGGGCCCGCTCAATACGCCATAGGGGGAATCTTCCACGGGGGGAAAGAGTCTATGAAGCGGCTGACATTAGTGGCATCCCGGCGGATGAATGTGCTTCTGGTGTTTCTGATCCCTGCACCGCTGCTGTTATTAAGGGCACTCAGGCATATTGCTGCCATCTAGAAAGAATATGGTAAGGCCATTCTTTATTCATTTGATTGCTGGAGAATCATAGTTAGCTCAGTTAGGACACACCTTGAGGGCTTTACACATATAATCATCATAGATACAAGAATTATATGAAAATTGGAGGACAAGAAAGCAAAAAAAAAAAAAACAACTTTGTGTATCTGTATAAGTAGATGCAAAACCTGTGTGTTAAGATTGAAAGTTTTCTAATCTACTACTAATTGTAGTAATGGTTAATATTGTAATTTGGTTAACTGTGTTTCTTGTCAATTTGTTAACCTCTCTTGTACCTCTTTGTATGGACATGTTTGTAAAATACTTGGAAGTAGTTGGAACTGTATATTTCTAGTTTGTGTTTCCTTTGTTGGTTTAGTATTATTTTAGTAGTAGGTTATTTCCCTGTATTTGGAATAACACATTGTAAAACTTGTTTAAAACAAAATGAGTTCCTGTTTGGTATTCACATGGTCAAATTTTGGCATGTCTCTCTACATTTACTCATTTGATAAAGAAGACTGTGTGTACCAATTACTTAAGCTTCCATTGATGGTATTTGATGTATGGACTCAAGCAATTTTTATTTTATTTAGTTATTTGTTTTAAAAAGCTTTTTCTATGCTCTTAAGTTTTTCCGCAAGTACAACTTTTGTTCTAGAAAATTCGTCTAGATTGACTTAATCAAATTAGATGATTTTTTTTATCATAAAGTACCCAAAAATTTAAATATTAGTACAAAAGTACTTTTATTAAACTTATCTGGCGGGAAACTATCAGAATTGAGTATCATTGATGATTGATTTTGGTCAAATCTAATCGGAAATAGTCAAACGAAGCAAATACTCTAAAAGTATAGGATATTTTCTAGCAAATCTAACAAAATAGCTCGTAATTTCAGAATCCATGTAATGCAGCTATTATCAATTTGGCTAAGGGCGTTCCACATTTCCATGGTAGGTTTTTGGGTCATTTTTTAACAAAAACGGTAATGGTGGATGTAAGCCGAGATTACTACAATTCATTATCAAAAAATGTTATTGTAACTACTCCAAATAATGTTAAAGAAATATTAAGATTTGAAAAATTTATTTATTTAATTGAAAAGAGACATAAAGGTACTCATTAAATTCAGCATCCATCGGTATTCCGCATTCCCCAATAAACTAGCCCAACTTTAGCAGCCTTCATTGTCAATATTTCAGGCCCATGTACATCAGTCCAAATCCAGCTACCCTTCCAACCATTTCGGCAAGAACACTGTTTATTTTCTTTTCACACCATTGTATGGATAAAGATGCTCCAACTTTATTATTCACATGTCAATTTTTTTCTTATTTATTTACTTCGTATTTATTTTCGTTTATTATATGTTAAAATAACATGAGCCTATCCTCATATCAACTCTTATTTTGTAGATAATTTGATTTAAAATTAAATTTATAAATTTTGCTATGAATTTCTATATCAATATTTAAAAAAATAAATTAAAAATAAATTTAAAAAGAATTACTCTATATCAATTTAGAACAAAAAGCCTACGTAGTATTTGAAACAAGAGTGATGTTTCCATAGGCCTTGTTTGGGTAGATCGTTTTCAATTAGCTTTAGCCTTTTGGATAAAATTCTAACGGTGTAGATTAATTCGGAAAATGCTAACGCTAAAGGTTACCGTCAAATAATTTTTTTCAAAATGCTAATGTTAATCTCTAACGCTGATGCCAAACAAAGTCATAGACCCAAGGTCCACAATTAAAATATGGATCTTCTCATATTTTTTATGGATTTACATGTAGATATTTTATTTTTTGCAATGAGCTTATTTCTTTTATCCTAAAAATATGTTAAAGTCCATAAAATTGTGTTGTAACAAAAGGGCTTCTTCCATGCCCAAAAATCAAAAAATGAAACGCCGAGCACGGGACACGTGTCATGGTGACCAATCCCAAAAAAAAATGAAAAAGTCCCGACTCCCGCCAGTTCACTCAAAAATCAAATCGAAAAACCACCAAAAAGAAAACAAAATACGAAATCCCCCCCTTTTCATCTCGTTCACATATTTTGTTAAATTCGGATTTGCCCCCTCCCCCATTGTCTTCCCAGCTTCTTCCAGAAGCCTTCAGCAGCAGTCTGAGAAACTCTCCTCCTATTAGCGCGGCCCTTTTCGTTCTTCAATAAACGCTATCTGTATCGATCAATTCAAGCCTCGTCGAGCGCATCCCAGTTTTTCTCTTCGTTTCATCGGAAATTACTGCAACTGACGAAGATGAACGATAGTGACCCGGCGGAAGTAATGCACGGAGACCAATCCAAACCATTCTTGGGCGTTCGTTTCGTTCTCTGCGGGTTCGATCCCATCAGGATAGAACAGGTTTTTGCTCATGTCTTTTAATTGATTATGCCCTTATTCGGCTTCCATCCCACTTCATTAAGGTTTCAGTTTTTGCCCCTCGATTCTTTTGTTTTCAGGTTCTCTCGGCGCTCTTGAATGGTGGTGGAGTGGATGTCAAGCGGTATTGCCCTGATTGCACTCATGTGATTGTTGACAAAGTTGTGTATGTGAGTGAGGATAATTCTTCAATTGGCTGGCGTATTATTTACTGGGTTTTACTGTGATAATTTTATACATTTTAGTTGAATGTTTGAAATGCGAATATGGCATATTGTGTGTGAATGAATGAGCAGGATGACCCAATATGCGTTTCTGCTAGAAGGGATGGGAAAGTGTTAGTGACTAGCTTGTGGGTTGATCATTGTTCTGAAGTGGGAATGCCAGTTGATCATAATTCTGTAAGTGCATTACTCAATGCCCACATCGCCTGCTAGGGGCGATTACATTTTCAAATAAAGATTGGTGATTGGTTAACATTGTTGGCCTAACTATACTATTGTTGTGAACAGATTTTGTATCGGCCCTTGAGGGACTTGAATGGCATTCCTGGTGCCAAATCTCTGGTTATTTGCCTAACTGGATATACTGGTGAAACTCGGGACGATATTACGGTTGGCTAATCTACATTTGACAAAATAATAAATTGTGGATATGCATTTGTTGGGATCAAGAATAAATGAACAATAGAGAGTTTGCTTATTACTTTTGTAAATGTGATCTTACTATTTGATGTTTTCATATTTTGCAGATCATGGTTGGGTTGATGGGTGCCACTTTTTCGAGGTCATTGATTACAGCCACGGCTACTCATCTTGTATGCTACAAATTTGAGGGTATGCTCCTCTCTCTCTCTCTCCATCTTTCTCCCCATAAACATGAGTGATTACTATCAGATCTTCTAAAGGGAATTTGTCATCAATTCTAATGTTCCTTCTTCTGTAAATGTTGCTTACATAAATTAACAAAAAAATCTTGCACCCACCATAATGCATTGATATACATCAAACAATCAAATGAAGACGCTTAACCAACACTTTCATCATGTTCCACAATAGTGTATGTAGGGCTATGTTTCTTTTTTTCTTTTTGTTCAATTTTTGAATTTTTACAATCATATTTCATGAGCTGTCATTTGCATTGTTTTCAATATAACAGGAGAAAAGTATCGTACTGCTAAGAAAGTGTCAAATATAAAGATAGTGAACCATTGGTGGTTGGAAGATTGGTAAATCTCTGTTTCTTGTTTTCCATGATTCTGTTTGTACTTGAAATTAGGATTTCATCGGCAGCTGTTGACTTTTCTGGAAAATACAAACTTCTATATTGCTTACCTATCCAAACTTAAAGCCACTCATATTAGTCATATCCCATTCTTTTTTTTTTTTGCAGTTTAAAGTCTTGGGCTCTACTTCCAGAAACTGACTATAATAAGAGGTGAGATGTAATGTTTCACGCTTTCACTCTCTATTTGTCCTCGAAATGAAATTTAGGAATCATAGGTATCTCTTTTAGACATTGCTTGTGTGCTTTTTACTAAATGAGAAGCTTGGAGTTTCTAAGGTTCTACCATATGTGCCATTACATGTTCATTCTGATCTTGATGTTCCCAGACCCCACGCTATGCTCGTCATATTCTACTTGGTTGTTATTCTTGTTGTCAGATCTTGATGTTTTTACACTTAAATAGGAAGTTTCATGCCCCTTTTGTTTAAAACAATATCAATCTTTTCTATGAAAGGAAAATCAATAAAATGCTGACATTTTCAACACTTCTCCCCATCTTCACAGTGGGTATGATTTGGAGATGATGGAAGCTGAAGTTAAGGACTCAGAAGAAGAGCAAGATGACATTCCTGCACAATCAAATGGGGAGAGAAAAATGGTTATTTCTTTGCACAACTCTAGAAGTGCCAATCAATCCCTTTTGAAGCCGGACTCTTTAAATGTGACCAATTCCAAAATTTCTAGATCTTCACAAGATGCAAAAAATCTTTTGCAATCTTTCAAGAAGCAAGATCTCTCTGAAGACTTAAATCTGTGTGCATCTAGAGCTCTATCAGATCAACACTTCAACAAAGTATCATCATCTGCCGGAAAGGGACCAAAACATGCTCAAGCTGAAATGGCAGCTTGTAGTGACAAACTCCCTGACCTTCCACTAAATGATAATGTCTTAGCATATGGTGCTACTTGTACCGAGCAAAATTCTGGTGTGTTTAAAAAAAGTTATTCCCGGAAAAGCGGGATGAAAAACAGTCTCGGTATGAAAGAAGAGAAAGGCAATGGAGGAACTCCTCTTACTGTCAATGCAGGAAGACCCGACAAGGGTCAAAACTTAATATCATTATTAGATTTAGAATGTGATGGATTACATACTGCTGGTGCAGATTCTCATACTAAAGCAGCATCACCTTTTGGAAATGAGCAAACTTATATATCATCAGAGAAGAAGATGTTAACCACTCCATCTAGTAGTTCAAAGAAGCAAAGGAAAACACATACCCAAGGGACAAGGAGAGATGGTGCATTGATTGCAAGTGGAGCTGAAGTGTTAGAGGCTGTTTCTTATGCAAAGAACGGATTAGAATCTACAAATAGGTCTCCTGTTAAGATCTTCAACATTCCTAGTCCAGATGGTGCCAGAGAACTTTGCTGTAAGGAAGCACTCGAGACTGGGTTGCCTGAAACTATGGAAGATGCCAGTGCTGATGTTGAAGTGCAACAAAAGGAGCTGCAAGGATTCAAAGTAACATCACCTGGGAGCAATGCAGAGACTGAAAACCTTAACGAGTTAGCTGGTGTTCAACTGCTTGAAGGAAATACAGAATCTCAGCCCAGAAAGCATAAGAAAAGATGCCTTTCTATGAAGACAGAGAAATCCAAACAGGCTTTTGGTAAAGGCCATGCTAGTAATCAGAAGGGTTCTATTTACCTGAACAAGAATGGAGAGTCAGCTGTCT